TTGGCTTTTATATCTTTATTGTTTTTTATATTTTGTTTAATGGAGATTAATGATAAAGTGAAATTAATTTAACAATGTAAGAAACAATAATTTAAGACTCACATCTTTAAATATCGCAGATAAGAAAGAAAATAATCCTGCGGCCCACACTAATTATTTAATTCCCCATCTATAACAGAACTGAACTACCAGTTCGGTTGGAACCGTTACATAATGAAGTACGTGGATATCTGGCCGGAAGAGAGGAAATGGAACAAACCTTCGAGCTACATTGTTCTGTTACCGATTTTGTTGATGATGCGTTTCGTGTGTGGTCTACAATTCCTAACCTGCCGACTTGGATCTGGTGATCGAGAATTTATCGACAACTAACACACTTTCACATTGTCGCTAAAAAAAGACTGGCAAATGTAAGAATCTCATACCATTATCATATAAACCATATCCAATTTTATCTAAAGATAGAATCTATCAAGGAAGTTCAACGAAGATCATCGAATATTGCAATTTTATGTATTTTCATTTCTTAAACAAGTTTAAAGTCACAAAAAATGTATCTGGTATATGATCTCCAGATTTCTAAAATCTCAACTTTTAGATGAACATTGTATTACTTTTTAGTAAAGAACGTAATTAACAAACTGAATATATTTTTGCAAATAGTAGGAAAAATTTTATTATTGCATGAAACAAAATCTCATATTTTATCCACCATTTTCTTCGTATGCAAGCATTGATGTATCTGCTGAAGTACATAGCCAAGGACTGTGTTACAATGGAGACGAAAACTGGACGAGAAACAATGTTGAACATTGCGAGGATCACAAGATGGATCTCAATAATATCTTCAATTATGTGTCAACTAGTAGTCGCTTCATACGTGATTCTACGATTATATTTTATCAAGTACGATGATAACAAATTGTACGTGGCTATTACCCCTACGATATAACCATAAGCCTAAATTATGAATTCACTGTGATGAGTCAAGCCGTGGCATCATGTACGCAGTTGTGGATACTTTTATCGTTGGTTTTACATACGTGTGGACAGATTTCGAATCTAAAGAACGAATTAAGGGAGATCCATTTGCAAATTTTTTTAAAGCAGACTTGTGTTAGATTATAGTAAGTGTAAACCTCAAAGAGCTAAAAAATAATAATTTGAAAAATTGATATCTTTCTATACTACATTGTTCTTTTCACTTCAATTTAAGTATAATAAAAATATGCATAATGAAGAGTTATTTTACTATTTCAAATTTATCTTTTATTTCAAATATAATAATTATTGCACAAAATTATTAGAATGAAATCATTCTTATTTACTTATTATCATCTAATCTACACAAACTTACGC